TAATCTACAGATTCAATGCAATCCCAATACAAATACCAATTCCATTCTTCAAGGAGATGGAAAAGGCAACTTCCAATTTCATCTGGAAAGAGACTCTGAATAAGTAAAACACTCCTGATAAAGAGAAACAAGATAGGAGGCATATCACTCCCTAATCTCAAATCTTACTACACAGCCATGGTGGTCAAGACATAGTGATACAGGTATAGTGACAGACATATAGATCAATGGAATATATTTGAAAACCCAGAAATCAGCTCATTTATCTGTGGTCGACTGATTTGTGTCAAGGAAATAAAATTAGTTAAGTGGGAAAACAAACAAACAGAAAAAACAACAACCTTCTTTCACAAATGGTGTTGGAAAAATTGGAAAAGTATCTGTAAAAACTTAAGCAAGACCCTCACCTCACACCATACACAAAAATCAACTAAGAATGGATCAAGGATATAGGAGTATATTGTATAAAACCATTATTGTAGAATGAGTATAAGGACACAAGGTAGAAGGAGGGTGGAAGCAGAGGGATGAGAATGTGCAGAGCAAGGGGGGATTAATCACAGAGTTATACAATTTAATAGGTGAGTGAGGAAAATTGGAAGAATCTGTTTTGGAAAATAATGTATTCTGATTTTGTAAATAAACTAGTATAGTTTTTTTAAAAGACATAGGAGTTAAAAAACAAACAAACAAACAACAAAAACAACCCCTATAAGCTTCATAAGAGAAAAGTTTGGAAGAACTCTAGAACCGATCAGGCTAGACTTCATTAGGAGGAAGTGGCAACAGGATTGGAGGGAGACTCATCAACAACCTGCATTATGCAGATGACATAATCTTGATTGCCAGAACTGAAGAGGACATGAAGTTCTTGCTGCAGAAAGTCAAGGACTGTAGTCCTCAATATGAATTGAAGCTTAACATCAAGAAGACAAAGATTGTCACCACTGGGCTAACTGGCAGCTTCAAGATGGATGGAGAACAGTTTGAGATTGTTGATAACTTCAGCTTGCTTCCACAATCAACACTGTTGACATCAGCAGTCAGGAAATCAAGAGATGAATTGCATTGCGAAAGTCAGCTGTCAGGGACCTCTCTAGCGTACTGAAGAGCAACAATGTCAGTCTGGAGACTAAGGTGCGTCTGATCCAGGCCATGGTCTTCACAATCACTTGCTATGCATCTGGTAGCTGGATATTAACTAAGGATGACAGAAGAAGGATCAATGCTTTTGAGTTGTGGTGCTGGAGAAGAGTACTGAACATAGGGACTGCCAAGAGAACAAACAGACCTGTCCTGGAGATGAAACTGGGCTGCAAGGATTTTGAGGCTCTGTTTCACATACACGTGGCCAGGAGGGACCAGTCCTTGGGGAGCTTGGAAGGATGGAGGAAGACCAGGATGAGATGGATTGACACACTGAATGGAGATATGGGTGGGATTAGGTTTTTTTGGAGATCATGAAATTGGCTCAGGATAGGGCAGGTTTCAGAACTAATGAGTTGCAGGTGACTTGATGGCACATAACAAAAAACAACAACGAAGAAGTATCAGCTCCTATACGGAAGACTATAATCTTTGATCTCAGTACAGCACTTGTTTTAGAAGATAAAGAAGTATGGATTGCATCTCAGTATCAAGAAAACAAAGATTCTTACCACTGGACTGATAGGCAACATCATGATGAATGGAGAAGAGATTGAAACTGTCACCAAATTCATCTTGCTTGGATCTACCATTAACACCCTTTGTACAAGCAGGAAATAAAGAGAAGTAATGCACTGGGAAAATCTGAAGTTAGGGACCTTTCCAAATTATTGAGGAGTAATGATGTCTGTTTGAGGACTAAGGTGTGTCTGATTCAGGCCATAGTTTTTCTTTTTAAAAATTGTGACTTTAATGAAAATTTACAGAAAAGTTGGATTTTCTCTCTCTCTCTCTCTCTCTCTCTTTCTTTTACATTTTCCTCCCTAACTCCCAGTTCACTTTTTTAAAAAAAATATTTATTCATTGCTGCATAATTTCCTCCCTATGCCCCCTTCCCCAGTCCACTCTACTATGCACCACTTATTCTGGAATTCTAACATACAAATAACGTGTAATCATATATTTCTTTAAAACAGTTCTTTCTTTCCTCTGTCTCAATGCAGTATTCATTATTTATCCCCTAATTTCTTTCTTTCCCCTAAATTCCCATGTCAGTCCTGTTTTATAACAGTGGTGTTATACAGCATTTGCCTCTTGCGACTGAAATATTTCACTCAGCTTGATTCAGACCATAGTCTTCATTTGCTACGCATCTGAGAGCTGGACAATGAACCAGTATGACAGTGGAAGAACTGATGCCCTTGAGCTGTGGTGTTGAGAACGAGTGCAGAACATCCCATGGACTGGCAAAAGAAAAATGTGTCTTGGAGAGGTGCACCCAGAATACTCTTTGGAGGCAAGAATAATGAAGCTTTGACTCACATACTTTGAGCATGTTTGCTAGAAGGGTCTATTCCTTAGAAAAGGACATGACACTGGGAAGAATGGAGGGTCGGTGAAGGAGAAGAAGACCCTCGACTAGGTGGACTGATGCAGGGACTGCCACAATTGGCTCTAATGTGTTAGGAAGTGTGAGGATGACACAGGTTAAGACAGCATTCAAATCTTTTGTTCATAGGATCGCTGCAAGTCGTACTGGACTCAACGGAATCTAACAACAACAACAACAATCTCTGCTCTTCTGTAGTGTCTTGAATATACTTTCAGCAAGCAAGGTTGTGTCTTTGGCATAAAACAAGTTTTTGATGAGCCTTCAATCCTTATGCCACATTCTTTTTCATATAGTCCAGCTTCCAATATGATTTGCTCAGCATATAGATTGAATAAATGTGGACAAAAGATAGAAGCTTGATGCACAGCTTTTCTTCATGATTTAAAAGCATGAAGTATCTCCTTTTTCTATCTGGACAACTGCTTCTTTGTCTATGCGTAGGCTTAGCATGAGCACTATTAACCATTCTGGGATTCTCCTTTTTCTAAATATTATCCATACAAGGAAGGCCAGTTAATACAACTATGATTCAAATATATGTTCCAACAACTAAATCCCAAAATGAAGAAATTGAGGATTTACATGGTTCTAATCCATGAGCTGCTCCATAGGAGAAAGACGGACAATCTTCTCCCTTGTAATTTACTGCCTCTAAAAATTCACCAGAGGGTCTGTAAAGAGTCAGTTCTAATTCGACAGTACAAAACAACAACCTATCTTTCCCATGAAATTGATAAAAAAATGCAATCAAGACATATTAATATTTACCGGTCACTAGAATACAAAAGTTGAAGAAGTTGAAAATATGGCTTTGCTGACAAATGTGACTGGAGATGGACAAGGCTAGGGCCTAACTGTGGAAGAGACCCCCAGATACTCATGTGCAAGTTCAAGCAAAGTTGAAGAAAAAGTTTTAAAGTCCACAGTGACCAAAATATGATTTTAAATCTATCCCAACTGGATAATAAAACTGTCTCAAGAATAGATTTGGTATAGTGAGCACTAATGATTGAAGACCAGATAAGCTGTGGGATGACATCAAGGACATCATCCGTGAAGAAAGCAAAACGTCATTACAAGGACAAAGGGGGAAAAGACCAAAACAGATGTCAGGAGAGACTCTAAAAATTGCACTTAGAATGTAGTGAGGTCAAAACAAAGGGAATAAATGCTGAAATAAGGAAACTTAAGAGAGGATTCTAAAGAGCATCTCAAGAAGAAAAAGAAGCAGCAGCAAAGTATTAAAATTAAATGTTCACAGAGTTGGAGTCAGAAAACTAAAAGGGAGTATGCTTGGCATTTCTCAAGTTGAAAGAAAGGAAGAACAACTTCAAGCTTGAGTTGCAATACTGAAGCATTCTATGGGAAAAATCCTGAATGATGCAGGAAACATCAAAAGAAGATGGAGTACAGTCACGGAACCAAAAATTATACGGTGTCACTGAACCATTTCAGGAAATAGCATATGATCAAGAAGCAATGGTAATGAAGGAAAAAATTAAAGTTACACTGAAGGCTTTGGTGAAAAACATGGCCCCAGAACCTGATGGAATGCCAACTCACATATTTCAACAAACAGATGCAATCCTAGATGTGCTCACCAGTCTATGCCAAGAAATTTAGAAGACCTGGCCAACTGACTGGAAGAGATCCATATTGTTCCCATTGCACAACATGCAATCCAACAGAGCACAGAAATTACCCACTATCTCATTAATAACACATGCAAATAAAATCTTGCTGAATATTATTTAAAACCATCTGGAACAGTCTACTGATAGGGAATTGCCAGAAATTCAAGGTGGATTCAGAAGAGGTCATGCACTGATGACTGTCTTTACTTATGTCTCACAGATATTCGCTGAAAGTAGAGAATACCTGAAAGATGTTTATTTGTTTTGTGAGGTTGAATATGCAAAGGTGTGTGACTGTGAGTATCATTACAAATCACGGATAACATTGAGAAAAATGAGAATGTTGTAACATTTTAATTGTGCTCATGTGAAACATATAAATACATATGCACACTCTTATGCATATGCATAAAAATTTTGCATATGATTTTAAGGATTCAAGAACTTCCTGAGCTCTTCTACAGCTTCTTGGGTTATAAACCCTAAACACAGGACCAAATCAGATAAAGTGTTCGAATATTTCTGTTAGTTGTCACTGAGTCAACCCATGACTCATGGGACCCTGTATACAACTAGAGCAGACCACTGTGATCCTAGGGCTTTTACTGGTTGAGTCTTTACAAGTCGATTATTTGGCATTTCTTACTACCCTGTCTTAATCTAGAAGCTCTGATAAAACCTGCTTAACATCATACATATGCAAACCACCACAAACAGGCAGGTGATTGCTACACATAAGGGAAGGAATTAAACTTCGTTATCATGTACAGAAGGTGTGGATCTAACCACTGAACAACCATCATACCCTTGATGTCCATTCCTATTACCTCTGATCTTAAGCTTCTTTTCTGCAGACATGGAACCTGAGCCCAGTCTGGAGATCCAAATTTCATTGGCCAAGTAACTTTTCGAGGAGGCTTTATCTCTGGGTTGTATGAGCCAGGCCTGGTAATAAAAATATTACACATTGTGTCAGATGAGTTAGTATTCATGCATCAATTTTATCATTACCACAGCTATCCTTGAATTCTCGATCTGTGGGACTAGCTTTTTAGTGTTGGGTGAGTATGGGGCTCCTTTGCCTGATAGCATACCTCTAATTAGCTGTTAAAGATAGTCTGTCTTGACATCCAGCTAGGTAGGATAAAGAGTGATCCTGCTTTGAAAAATATTTCTGTAACTCAGTTTCCTTAGCTAAGAGACTAGTAGATGCCAGAAGTGGCAAGTGATGAAAGAGGTTATCACAAGTAATGAATTCTTGCTGCCTAGGAATTGAAATGAGGAGAAAAGTGCTAATTTAACTTTCCAGTGATTTTTAAAAAAAAATCTCCAGGGACAGTAAAGCAGTTAAATTTTATTGATGGTGAGGTTACTTAAAAATTATCTGTGTTCGTCACATTTTGTCTTTTACTGTGAAAACTCTATGTTGTTGTAATGCACTGTCAAGTTGGAACCAACTCATAGCTGACTCTCCAGTGGATTATCAGAGGTCGTAAATCACATAGAAGACTGTCCATCTTTCTTTCGCAGAGCAGTTGCTGGATCAGAATGATGTGCCTTTGGGTTGGCAGCACAACTCCTTACCACTAGGCTGCCAGACCCTCCTCAAAAACTATATGGTGCAGAAGAAAGAGCTGGCCTGGAGGTCCACACTACCATTTCCTTAATCATTACAATTCTTGAATTTTTCTTCCATAAAAGACACACAATGACCCTTTACTCTGTTGTAATTATTGATGGCTGTTGAGTCAGAACCAACTCACAGCTGACCTTCTAGTGGGTTTTTCAGAGTCTATAAATCGTACAGAGGTGATTTCCCATCTTTCTCCCTTGGAGCAGCTGGTGGATTTATACCATATCTTTGAGCTGACAGTGCAACTCCCTAACCACTAGGCCACTAGCGCCTTTGCCATGTAATTCCACTGCCCTAAAAATCCTGAGTGTATTCCTACAGCATTTAGGTTAAACTGCATAGCCTGCAAGACATGCAGCATCTATCCCCAGCTTCTTTGTCTGATCTCTCCTCTTTCTTGCTTGCTCATTATACTCCAGCCATACTAACCTTCACTTCTTCACACCAAATTCCCTCCCAACATATGGCCTTTACACTTCCTTTCTCTTGAAAAGCTTTGTTTAAGTTAGCTGTGATGGCTTACTGGCAAGAAGCTATACTGCAATTCTCAAGGTGTACAGTTCAAATCCACCAGATGCTCCACTGGAAAAGGAGGGACAATCTTCTCCTGTGCCAGTTGGATCCAATTTGATGGTACAAAAAAGAAAAGAAAAGTTTTGTTCACAGATCTGCATGGAGCTGCCTCATTCTTGTTGTCCACGTTCCAGTTCAAAAACCATTTTCTTAAATTCTTCTTGAAAATCCCTGCTATCATCATCTTGTTTCATTTTCTTCAAAGAACCTAATACCAGGCTCCTGTATTTCCTGGTTTGTTCCTTAGACACTGTCTAGCTGCTAATATTCTGGCATAATTATTAATAAGGCACCTTAATCTCAGAATTTTCCCATAGTTGGACCAATACATTGTACTGTCATTCTTATCACCATGGATTTTCTTGCTTGTTTGCTTCTCACACTACATTCTGGTCTTTAGAATGTGAACTAGAAGAAATCTGGAGCCTGGTATTATAGGTTTACAGCTAAATTTCTAGAATTCACAAGAATGCTTGGCATATTAAAATCCAATCTTATTGAATCAATGACTATGATTCCACAATTTGATAATGGTAAAGAATTTAATGGCAAGAGGGTAAATGTTCAAAAACAGAGTCGGGTCTTACTTAGTGGGGTGTGCTGGATAAAAACCCTTCTATGCACTTCTTTTCTTGTTGCTTTCCAACAGCAGTTCTGCAGGGGAGAGAGGAAAAATCTCCTGTGCAATTTACAGTCTCCCCAAAACCTCCTGGAGTCCCAGCTATGAGTTAGTTTTGACTCAATGGCAATGAGTGAGAAGATGTTTACAAAAATGCAAGAGATAATAGAAGACATACCCAGGATAAAAGTCCTTTTCTGAATCATACTTTCTACATCGAGGCAACATGACATTAAATGGGACAAAAGCCTGCTTGTGTCTTTCATCAGGAGAAGGTACTGTCTGGTACATGCCTGGGTAAAATGTTGCATTCTGTTTCCAAGAAAAAGATTAACATAAGTTAGAGGGAGATACAAACACACACACACACACACACACACACACACACCCCTATAATCTTCTAGGTGCAAAAATCAGAACCATCCTTTACTATGGTTCACTCACTTCAAACTACAACAAGAAACAGTCCTGTCAAACCATCTACTGCCACCAAATAGATTCTGACTCAAAACAATCCTCTAGGTCTGAGTCCTACAGGGTATCTGAGGCTTGGAATCTTTATGAGAGCAAACTGCCTCACTTTTCTCCTGCACAGTAGCTGGTAGGTTCGAATATGGACCTTTTGCTTAACATCGCAATGCTTAATCCACTGTGCCAATACACTCATTGCCATCAAATCAGAATTGACAAATAGCTGACTCTGAAGCAGGTTTTCAGAGGCTATAAAGTACACAAGAGGAGATTGCCCATTCTTTCTCCCACAGAGCAGATGGTGGATGTGAACCTCTTGCCTTTGGATTGGCAGTGCAACTCCCTACTCACTGAGCGACCAGTGCTCCCTACTATGTCACCAGGACTTGTAAACAGGCTTATCTACCATTCATCCCCTCCCTGTCATGGAGCCAATTCCAATGCATGGTGACCTTCCATGGGGTTTCCTTGGCTACAAATCTTTATAGGAGGAAATGACCCACCTTTCTGCCACAGAGCATCTGGTGGATTTGAACCACTGACCTTTGGTTAGCAGTTCAACTCATAATGCACTACACCACCAAGGCTCCTTAAACAGACCTACAGTAGATAGAACAATCAATATAGGGTTATGGTTCAGCTACCTAAAATTACACCATGCTTAGCATGTAGAAGTAAACCAAATTATACAGAGGGCTAATGTAACTGTCTAGCAGTAACTATAGGTGGGGGTCAAAATCTCATAACCTCACGAGATATTTTTTAGATCCAGCATAGCTATAGCACCCCTTGAGTTACAACTGTTAGAAAATTGTCCAGTAGATATAACTCCACGTGTTATATAGTAGAACTTCCCGTAGCGTTCTCTTGGTTGTAATCTTTTGGAAAGGTGATCACCAGGCCTTTATTCTGTGTCACTTCTGGGCGATCTGAACTGCCAATTTACTACTCAAGCACAAACTGCACCACCTACAGACCTTTGAGATCCTTTGGACTTGAGGTTCATTCACACAAGAGTGGTTAAGTGAGAATTTGTTTTCTAACTGATAAAGCAATTTCAGGTACATAAACACAGCTTCTAGCATACTAACTTCAGTAGCAAAACCTTGTTTAGGGATGATTTCTTCCCAACTCTTGGAGATGAATTATTTTCTAATTCTTTTCAATCTACTCAGACATACATTGGCAATATGACTGTCCAAACAGTTCATGTAGGCTTTTCCTTAGTAGCTTCCCCTAGGCCTACTTTTCCTGAATTCCAGGGCATATGCATTTAGGTAATCTCTCCCCACCCCCTGCCCTTTTCTCTCCATTACAAATACTATAACATGGATCACAGTTAAATATGTAAATCTCAGTAATTTCTAACCTTGTTGATTACTTGAAATCTGAAACCTGTTCTGGCTCCAAGAGCATATCCTTTTTTACTGGTTGGGATCTTAGCGAGGTTTTCTGCCAACCCATATTTCTTCAGGTGGAATGTAAAAAAGAAGGAAGAAAACATTATAATCATAGTTTGCTTGAATGGAACTTGGATTGTGCTAAGTCTTCTCTGTAAGTGACTACTCTTTCTTCCTTGTCTTTGTGCTTTCAAGGTCAATACACCAGCACCACATCACACAATTACATAAGCAACATAGTTATAGTTGCAAAGAAACAGGGCTGGGTAAACTCAAATCTCAAACTCACTTCTGTGGTTGATTCTGACTCAGTAACCCTAGATGGGGTTTATAGACTATAAATTGTAGCAGGAGGAGACTTTCTCTCACGGAGCTGCTGATGGAACAGCACAGCACACTATGACTACATCCCAAGGCAAAGGGAGTAAATAATCTTTCCATGCATTCTAATGAATCTTGTCCTCTGAGCTCCAAAGAGCTGAATGTGCTCTAAAGTAACTGTCAGCTGGATTACACTGCTATTTTATAAACCTACTTCCTTGCATATTAACAGTCCAGGCTTGTTCTAATGGGAGCACTGGCACTGGTTCACAAGTCTTTGAAGGTGTGAATGGGATAGAGACCTAAGTCTGAGTTTGGTGGGGAAGGAGGAGGAGGCAATGGCCAGTGACTCTCAAACCCCAGCAGGAACGGCTGGTTGTAGACATACTGCTGGGGACCCAAAAGATCACAAATCCTGTAAAGTTTTTCTTCCATCAACACTGCATATCTAAAGATAGCCCGGGACTCATCTAAGGGGTGGTGAATACTCACATCTTCTGTTATGTATCTTCCAGGTCCTCTGTGGGGAACTCCTCTCAGAGGAGGATACTTGTTCCCCATCAAGTCTGAAGGAGTGTAGAAAGGAAAGACTTCTCGCTTTTGACACGATCCAAAAGAATAGTTAAGCAGGGCCTCTGGAGAGCAAGAAAGAGGGGAATTCTACATAAGAGAAGGCATCTCAGTCTGAGCACCAAGGTGCAGAAGGATGAAATGCAATGGGCTATGCGCCGCCAACCGTCCTTTTAATAAAAACCTGAACCAACGCCACGGAGAACGCTTCTTTTCCCTTCATTTTCCCCAGCCTCCCTGCCTTCTCCTTCCTCCTACCCTCTACCAACGACTACCGCCTCACCAGCATTGCTGTGCCACATCTTGCTTGAGCCTTTGGGGCTAGCATTTGTGTATGGTTGTTGTCTAGGAAACGGAGAAGCCCCGGGCTCACCCGCAGCTGTGGGCCTCGAATGCGCCTGCGCAACAAGCCTGCACGCGAGGCTCGGGCGGGGCGGAGAATATCCAAGGAATTGTAAACCACAGGAGGAAGAGACCTTGTTGGGCCCGAAAGTGTGGAGTCTCCGGGGTGAGAGGGTGTTCAGAAATACACTGGAATCTTGCTGTTGGCAACGTGTTGCAGTGGAAGCAGAGAGTGCTTCCATATGAGACTGCTAGGATCTAAAAGAGGAAAAAGCAGCTGCTACGGTGATAGTGTATCTGGGTGGGCTCCTTGGGCAACTCCTAGAGCAATACCAATGGAGGGGATGGGGACAGGGAACGAACAGAAGGATACTGATCTCTGTCTTAAACCAGTTGCAAGGAGTGAACTCTGACTCATGGCGAAGTAGATCACTAGACCATCACCCTTTTTCTGTTAGCTGAAAATGGTAACCATTTATGCCACCTAGGGCTTTCAGCTGTTCCCTGTTTAGAAGGCCCAATTTTCAAGGTTATCTGGTAGTGTAATGGTTAGAGCAACTTGACTATTAACTGAAAATTCTGTGATTGGAATCCTGCAGCTGCTCTGCAAGAGGAAAGAACTGGGGATCAGAGCCTAGGAAACTATGGATTGTTCCAGTTGGTCCTATAGGATTACTATAACTCTGGAACGTCACCAGATGCATTTTGAAATGACACACACAAATCCATGTTTCTTCAAACCATTTTAGTCTTGCTACGCTATTATTTGTGGCAGATAGTTAAAGGGCTAAGACCTTTGACATCTTTTAAAGGACCTAATAGGTTTTAAGCTTTTTGTCATCTTATTGCCATAAAGTGGGAATTGACTCATGACTGAACCTCTAGCAGGTTTTCAGAGGTTGTAAATTGCAGGGGAGAAGAATGCCCATTTTTCAGCAGAACAGCTGGTGGATTCCAATGGAAATGCTTTATTCACTAGGCCAAGAGAGCGCCCTAAAAATATCTTTGCTAGTCATATTTTGGCTCCTGTGGATTTGGTTTAATTTTCCTCAGCTTCAGCTTGAACTTGCATATGAGTAATTGGTGGTCTGTTCTGCCGGAAGTCCAGGCTGGGTTTAGAAGGGGTCGTGGTACTAGGGATATTGTTGCTGATGTTAGATGGATCTTGGCTGAAAGCAGAGAATACCAGAAGAATGTCTATCTGTGTTTCATTGATTATGCAAAGGCATTTGACTGTGTGGATCATAACAAACTGTGGCTGACTCTGAGAAGAATGGGAATCCCAGAACATTTAATTGTGCTAATGCGAAACCTATACTTGGACCAAGAGGCAGTTGTCAGAACAGAGCAGGGTAACAGTGCATGGTTCAAAATTGGGAAGGGTGTATGCCAGGGATGCATCCTGTCTCCATACCTTTTCAACATGTATGCAGAGCAGATTATCCGAGAGGCTGGGCTCTATGAGGAGAATTGTGGCATCAGGATTGGTGGCAGATCTATTAACAATCTGTGTTATGCAGATGACACAACCCTGCTTGCTGAAACTGAGGAGGACCTCATGCACTTGCTGCGAAGGGTCAAGGACTGCAGCCTTCAGTATGGACTGAGGCTCAATGTCAAGAAGACAAAGATTCTCACCACTGGACCACTTGGCAGCATCAGGATGGATGGTGAAGAGATTGTTCACAGCTTCAGTTTGCTCGGCTCCACAGTCAACACTCTTGGCACCAGCAGTCAGGAAATCAAAAAGCGTATCGCAATGGGAAAGTCTGCTGTTAGGGACCTCTCTAAAGCACTCAGGACCAACAGTATCTCTCTGGAGACTAAGGTGCGCCTGATACAGGCCATGGTATTTGCAATCACTTGTTATGCATCAGAGAGTTGGACAATGACTAGGGAGGACAGAAGGAGAGTGGATGCTTTTGAGCTGTGGTGCTGGAGAAGGGTACTGAATGTACCCTGGACTGCCAGGAAAACAAACACATTTATCTTGGAGAGGATTAAACCAAGCTACTCCTTGGAGGCAAGGATTCTGGGGCTTCGTCTGACATACTTTGGACATGTTGCCAGGAGGGACGGGTCCTTGGAGAGGGACATCATGCTTGGGAGGGTTGAGGGACAACGCAGGAGGGGAAGACCCTCTATGAGATGGATTGATTCGGTGACTGGGGTAATCGGGATGGGTGTGTCAGAGGCGGTGCGGTTGGCGCAGGATAGAGCAGGGTTTAGGGCTGTTGTGCATAGGGTCGCTACTCGACGGCACATAACAACAACAACAACAGTCATATAAACCTCAATTTCCTACTCTCTAAATTGAAAATGAGATTTTCTTTCTGTTGGTTGGTGAAGGGCACTCCAGGTTCAAGTCTGGCATTTGGATCCCACCCAGAAGTCTCTTCAGAGAAAAGACCTGGCAGTGTGTTTCTGAAAATGTCCCAGTCATGTAAATCCCAAGAAGTGGTTCTGCTCTGAAACACAGGGGGCCACAGGTGAATTCAAATGGATTTTGAGGCAACTGGTTGCCTTGTTGACAGGAGTAACTAAGGTTGTTGTTATGTGCCGTGGAGTCACTTGCGACTCATAGCGACCCTATGTACAACAGCCCTAAACTCTGCTCTGCCCTGTGCCAATCGCACTGTCTTGGACACTCCCGATTACCCCAGTCACTAAATCAATCCACCTCCTAGAGAATCTTCCCCTCCTGTGCTCTCTCTCCACCCTACCAAGCGTGATGTCCCTCTCTAAGGACTAGTCCCTCCTTAACAACATGTCCAAAGTATGTTAGAAGGAGCCTCAGAATCCTTGCCTCCAAGGGGCCACCCGGTTTAACCCTTTCCAGGATGAATCTGTTTTCCTAGCAGTCCATGGTACCCTCAATACTCTTCTCCAGCACCATAGCTCAAAGGCATCAATTCTCCTATCCTCCTTAGTCATTGTTCAACTCTCTGATGCATAACAAGTGATAGCAAAGACCATGGCCTGTATCAGACTCACCTTAGTCTCCAGAGAGATACCAAGGTAGTAGGTTTAACAAACTTTTTCAATGCTCCGTGTGTGGCAGTTGACAAGTTGTTACTGAAGATAGCTGGTGAGATTGGAAGCATTCCTGTACTGACCTAAGGAAAAACCCTTAGGGCTTTAACATTGTTACCGATTTTTTTTTTACTTCCTAGATTTTAGGATGGGTTTAGGAGTTTCCCAAGTATAGGAAACTTGCAACTATCACTGTCTTTGAGGATGATTATACATCTATAGTTAGGATTTCTTCAGTCCAAAATTGATAAATATACATATAATCAATATGAATAATTAATAATTATGAATAATTATAATTATTTTAAATTAATTCTTAATAGTTATTGGTGACTAGATTGCCAAAGTTGGAAATAATGGGGAAAGAGTGACAGTCAGAAAAAAGGAGCTCTTGGTGGTAAAAATAAGCCTGGACATTCAATGAATGAGTTTTTAATTTTTTTAAATGATTGAATTTTGTATGTTCAATTTTTTTATTCATACCAAATACTTCTGAAAAAAAACACAAAAGGTGTCTTTTCCTACTTTTATTTTGTTTGCTCTTTTTGGGGAGACTTTCTCTTTTTTAATTTTTTTTTTTTTACAAACTTGTGTGTCAAGGGCTGAGCTTCAATAAATTGCAACGAGCAAGCTGCTCTGCCATGAGTGAAACCCAAACTTAGAAGCAGGTCATCCAGGAATGATTTAGAACCAGGATCCCCACTAACAGTGCTTGATAGGTGAGGAGGCAGCCACCTTTTTTATAGCTCCTGGTATTCCTTGGATGGAGGGCTCTCCTGGTCCTGAGGCACAACCAGGTTATAAAAAGGGTCTTTACATATACCTCACCTGAAGGACTGCAAATGAATCAGATTGATTTCATCTGGAGAAAGAATTATTGGAGAAGCTCAGTATCAGCAGTCAAAACCAGGCCAGGTGCTGATTGTGGCACAGACCATAAGTTACTTACGTGCAAGTTCAACCTGAAGCTGAAGAAAATGAAAATAAGTCTTTAAGAACCAAAATATTATCTTGAGTCAATCCCATCTGAATTTAAAAATCATCTCCATCAAAGACTAGATGATTTATGGGATGAAATAAAAGATACCCATGAAGAGAGCAAAAGGTTGTTACAGAGACAGAAGAGGGGGGGAAAGACTAAAATGGATGTCAGAAGAGACCCTGAAAATTGTGCTCAAGCATCGAGAAGATTCGAAAACAAAGGGACAAATGCTGAAATAAAAGAGACAAACAAAATTTCAAAGGCAAGCTCAAGAAGACAAAGCAGAGCAGGTGAGACACTTCCTGAAAGCCAGCACTTTTAGGTGCTTGTGAGAGAAGGACCTGAAACTCCCATGGGGAAAGGTCCCTTCATTTGAAAATGCCTGCCCTTGCAGGGTCATCCCAGGGACCAGAAAGGATGATAGAATTTGGGACAAAGAGCTGCAATCAGAGGAAAAACTTACTTTCTCAGCCGGCACACTGAGATGCTAGAAAGAGAGCTGCCTTCAAACCCCACTGGACAGAAATTGCTTATGGTAGCACCCCTGATTATTGTGCCACTGTTGTTATGTGCCATTGAGTCTCTTGTGACTCATAGCGACCATATGTACAACAGCCCTAAACTCTGCTCTGTCCTGTGCCAATTGCACTGTCTCTGACATTCCCATCTCGATTACCCCAGTCACTGAATCAATCCACCTCATAGAAGGCCTTCTCCTCCTGCGCTGCCCCTCCACCCTACCAAGCATGATGTCTTTCTGCAAGGACTGGTCCCTCCTTAAAACATGTCCAAAAAAAATTGTGCCACTACAGAGATAAATAAAGACACTAAACTTCAGGAGACAAGATATCATCAAGTGAGACACTCTTTCCCAGAGCCAGTACTTTCAGGTGTGTGAGAGAAGAGCCTGAAACTCCCTTGAGGAAAGGTGTCTACATTTGGGGA